AAATTGACTGAATTTATTATTTTGTTATTTATCTTCTTCTTTGTAAATACTTAATCATTTGAGATTGGATAAGGTATTACTTTATTTTTCAATTATGTAAATTTTGGAAGTTTAAAAAAAATAGTATTTTAAATAAAATTTTAGTGTGATTAAGGAAAGTGAAAAATATTAGACTCTATTGCCTCATTATAATCCTTATATGGAACAGGCATTTTTTAGATTAACCCTTTCTTAAATTCAATCCAATGTATCGTTTTCAAATGAGACAGTCTAGAAATTATTATAAATTTAAGAAAATTCTTAAATTTAAAAACAAAGATACAATGGATTAGTAATAATGTTGGTCGCACAAAATGGAAATGTTTCCTTTGGAATTGATTATTTATAGAAATTTATTCTTTCTAAAAATTTAAGATGTCAACTTTATTCTCCATTTGCTTTGACTTAGTAGCAAGAGGAGAAATTTTAAATTTAAGAGGAATAATTGAATTAGGTAATATTTTACTAGAAAGTAAAAAAAGACAGTAAAAAGTGAAAAAGAGAATTAATAAAAATTAAAATATTTGATGGGAAAGATTCCAGTAGTTTTAAAAATCAAACAAATTAGAGAAAGTTATAACTGAAGTAGTAAAAAAAAACTAATTAATTTTAAGTACATTAACTTTTCATTATTAAGATTTAGGACTGATCTAAAATTAAATAATATTTCTAGTCAATAAATTATAGATTAAAGCTTTTTTTTATGAGAATACTTCTTCAAGTCAATCCTCCAGAAAATAATAAAAAACCTTAGTTAATGTTCTAGTCGGGCCAGATTAGCTAAAGAGTCTGCAAATTTCCAGATTTTCTAACATGCATTTACTAATATATAGTTCTTCAAATAGTTTTTAAATGACTCTTCTAAACAAAAATCTTGATTAGTATTTACTAAGTAACTTTGCAAAATGGGATATTTGGATAGGTTAATCACGAAGGGAACTCAGGTAGATATGTCTTTTATTGGAATGGCAATGTTAGGCTGGAAGCATACTTAATATACATTTATGTCAACTTTAGAAAATAAAGAAACATTCTTGACTGGATTGGATATTTATAGAAAGTTCTAAGTGTATTTATAAGAGATTTTAATAAAAACTTTAAATCTCTAAAAATCCTAATTTGAAATAAATTTATTATAAAATTTAAATAATTAATTATGCCTTATTTTTATAAACAAGATTGATTAATTATTTAAATAAGTTTTATCATAAATTATTTATTATAGAATATACCGATCTGATTGTTGAAAAAATAATCCCATAAAGTAATAATATGAGAAGAAAAATAACCATTTAAAATAGAGAAAAATAAGATAAAGAAAACAATTATTATTGTTAATCTAAAATCAAGAATATCTGTATGTAGAAAATCCTATA